AGACCACCTCTACAAGAAATACTTAAGTATTAAACACAGAAGACAAGGAGAAAAGAATGACAGTGTTCTTCACAAGAGTACAGGGAAAAGATGGAAAACACACATGAATCAACTCCAAAACCAAAGGAAAGACAACAAATAAACAGGAACAATAACAACTCTATAAGAATCTTATGACAGGGAAAAACCGCCAAATTTCAATAATTAACCTGAATGTGAAAGGACTAAATGCACACTGAAAAGACACAGAATGGTGGATTGGATAAGAAACTATGACCCCATTATTTGCTGCATCCAGGAGACTCATCTCACTACAAGCGATGCACACAGACTCAAAGTTAAAGGATGGAAAACAAGTTTCCAGGTCAGTGGCCCACAAAAGAAGGCAGCAGTTGCAATCTTAATATCAGACAAAATAATCTTTAAGCTATCAAAAATTTAAAAGGATACAAAAGGATCCCACATAATGATAAAAAGTTCAATCCATCAACAAGAAATATCCATCCTAAACATATATACACCCAAGACAGGAGCACCAGTATTTATAAAACAACTACTTAATATACTGAAAAAAGATATTGACTCTAACACTATTATAGCAGGGTACTTAAATATCCTACTGACAGCTCTAGATAGATCAATGAAGCAAAAATCAACAAGGAGCTCCAGAACCTAAACTTGACACTTGACCAAATGAACTTAGTAGATACCTACAGATTATTCCACCCAACAACCACAGAGTATACATTCTACTCATCACCCCAAGGAACATACTCCAAGAGCAACCACATTCTTGGCCATAAATCAAGCATAAACAAATACCACAAAGTTGAAATCTTGCCATGCACATTTTCAGACCACAGTGGAATAAAAATAAACATTAAAACCAACAACATTTCCCCAAAGCCCACAAAGACGTGGGCACTAAACAGCATGATGCTGAACAACGGCTCGGTCAACACTGAAATCAAAGAAGAAATTGAAAGATTTCTGGAAAAAAATGAAAATGATGAAACATCTTACGGAAACCTCTGGGATGCCATGAAATCAGTTCTAAGAGGGGAATTCATATCTCTACGAGCACACATCAAGAAAATGGAAAGATCATAAGTGGAGAGCCTAACAAATCACCTAAAGGAGCTAGAAAGAGAAGACCACGAATATCCCAACTTTAGCAGAAGAATCCAAGTCACAAAAATAAAAGCCCAAATACAGGACATAGAGGACACAAATATAGAAAACATCAACAAAACAAAAAAAATTGGTTCTTTGAAAGACTTAACAAGATTGATGTGCCCCTAGCCAGAATGACCAAAAGAGAGAAAAAGCCCAAATAAACACAATCAGAAATACAAAAGATCAAATCACAACTGACCCTGATGAAATACAAAAGATTATCAGAGATTACTATGTACACCTATATAGAAACAAACTTTGTGGGAGTGTAAACTAGTGTAACCTCTGTGGAAAGCAGTGTGGCAATTCCCAAAAGCTCTAAATATCAACCTCCCATATGACCCTGCAATCCCCCTACTGGGAATATACCCTGAAGAACTCAAATCACTCTATAAAAAAAATACCGGCACACGTATATTTATCACAGCATTGTTCACAATAGCAAGAACCTGGAAGCAACCATGCTGTCCATCAAAAGAGGACTGGATAAAAAAATGTGATACATATACACGATGGAATACTATGCAGTCATAAAAAAGAACAAAATCATGAATTTCGCAGCAACCTGGATGGAACTAGAGTCTATTATACTGAGTGACCTCTCACAGAAACAAAGATCCGAGTATCACATGTCCACTATAGTGGACCTTGATCATCCAATGTAATACCATAAGAAAATGACGACAGAGGTGGGGAACTATGGAGGGGAGGGGAAGGGAGATGGGATTAATGGTAGCAAATATCTGTCTGGGGATGGGGAGATACCTCTTATCAACAAGAGTGCCTGAACAAAGCATATTTGTATACCTAACCCTTAACTGTACCCCACAATATCATAATAAAAAATATTGATTATAAAAAAAAAGAAACAAACTTGAAAACCTAGATGAAATGGAGAACTCTCTGACATCACACAACCCTCCCCCCCAAGTTAAAACAAGAAGACATTGAGACACTTAATAGACCCATAACAACCCAGGAAATTGACTCTGTCATACGAAAACTACCTACCAAAAAGAAGCCCTGGACCGGATGTCTTTCCAGCAGAATTCTACAAAATGTACGAGGAGCAGATACCAATCTTATTGAAAGTATTCCAGACAATTGAGAAAGATGGAATTCTCCCCAAATCATTTTACGAAGACAACATAACACTGATACCCAAACTGAGTAAAGATCCAACACAGAAAGAGAACTACAGGTCAATATCACTTATGAACATAGATGCAAAAATCCTCAACAAGATTCTAGCAAATCGGGTCCAAAAACACATCTCAAATGTCATCCACCATGACCAAGTAGGCTTCATTCCCAGGATACAGGACTAGTTCAACATTCTCAAAACCATAAATGTCATTAAATACATCAACAGATGTAAAAGCAAGAACCATATGATTATCTCATTAGATTTAGAAAAAGCTTTTGATAAAATCCAGCATCCCTTCTTGATAAAAACCTCAAACGTCTAGGTACAGAAGGAACATACCTCAAAATAGTAAGTAACATCTATGACAAACCCACAGCTAGTATATTGCTAAATTGTCAGAAACTAGAATCATTTTCCCTGAAAACTGGAGCAAGATAAGGTTGTCCACTCTCACCCCTCTTGTTCAATCTTGTGTTGGAAGTCCTAGCTCAGGCAACTAATCAGGGGTATACAAATAGGAAAAGAGGAAGTCAAGTTATCCCTCTTTGCTAATGATATGATCCTATACCTTGAAAATCCAAGAGAATTTGTCAAAACCCTGTTTGCACTGATAAAGGACTTTGGGAAGGTCTCAGGGTACAAAATAAATGTGCAAAAGACAGTTGCATTTTTCTATACCAACAATAAGCAGGCAGAGACTCAAATAAAAAGCACAATCCCATTCACAATAGTCACCAAAAAATGAAATACCTCGGCATCTTCCTAACCAGAGAAGTAAAAAACCTTTACAATGAGAACTACAAAACACTGCTCAAAGAAATCCAAGAAGACACAAACAAATGGAAAAATATCTCATGCTCATGGATAGAAAGAATCAGCACTGTTAAGATGTCCATCCTACCAAAGGCAATCTACAGATTCAACGAAATGCCCACTAAGTTACCAACATCATTCTTCTCAGACCTGGAAACGACAATACAGAAATTTACATGGAAACATAAATTACCACAAATAGCCAAAACAATCCTTAACAAAAGAAACAAACCATGAGGTATCACACTTCTAGACTTCAAACTTTACTACAAGTCTACAGCCATCAAAACAACCTGGTATCGGAACAAGAACAGGCACACAGACTAATGGAACAGGATAGAGATTCTGGAAGCAAAGCCTCAATTCTTCAACCAACTCAACTTTGACAAGCCCCCAATAAAAACCACTGGGGAAAGGAGAACCTATTCAGTAAATGGTGCTGGGAAAACTGGCTGAACACATGCAGAAGACTGAAACAGAACCCCTACCTATCACCATACACAAAAATTAATTCGAAATGGATCAAAGACCTAAACGTAAAACCTCAAACTGTAAGAACCTTAGAAAATGAGGAAACACTCTTATGGAAGTTGGAACTGGTAACTGATTTCTGATCAAAACCCGAAGTTCCCAGACCATAAGAGATAAGATAGACAAGTGGGACCTCATTAAACTGACAAGCTTCTGCAAAACCAAAGAAACCATCAAGAGAGCAGGGAGACAGTCCACAGAATGGGAATAAATATTTGCCAACTGTATATCTGACAAAGGTCTAACATCTAGGATCTATAAGGAATTTAAACACACCAAAAGGAAAAAACAAACAGCCCCTTTAAAAAGTGTGCAAAAGACATGAATAGACACTTCTCAAAAGAAGATATACGGGAGGCCAATAGACACATGAAAAAGTGCTCAGCCTCACTCATCATTAGAGAAATGCAAATCAAAACCACATTGAGATACCACCTAACCCCTGTAAGAATGGCCGTCATTAATAAAACAAACAACAACAGATGCTGGCGAGGATGTGGAGAAAAAGGAACACTACTACACTGCTGGTGGGAATGCAGACTAATACAGCCTCTTTGGAAGACAGTGTGGCGATTTCTGAAGGAACAATGTCAGGCTGTTTTGATTCCACTTTTGGGAATATACTCAGAGGAATGCAAATCATTCTACAAAAATGATCCTGCACGCGTATGTTTGTTGCAACGCTATTCACAATAGCAAAAACATGGAACCAACCATGTTGCCCATCAAAGCTGGACTGGTTTAAAAAAATGTGGTACATATACACAATGGAATATTTGCAGCCATAAAGAAGGACAAATATATGGACTTTGTAGCAAATTGGAAGGATTTGGATTCGATCATACTCAGTGATTTATCACAAAAACAAAGAAATGAGTTCCATATGTTCTCACTCATAAGGTGACCTTGAACAATTATAATGCTATAAGAAAGTAATTGGCAGTAGTGGAAAACTGTCAGGGGAAGGGGGCATGGGACTGGTAGTTGGGGAAAACTTCTAGGGGAGGGAGGGGCATACCTCATCAACAAGGGTACCTGCATGATCAATGTTTGTATAGCTAACCCTGAATTGTACCCTACATCTTTATAATAAATAAATAAATTTAAACAGAAATAATAATAAATTAATCAAAGTCCCAGAAAAGTGTTCTGATAAAGTTAATATATTATCTAAATAAGTACTTTAAATAATGGAATATTATTATAGCAAAACATCAATGGAATGTAACTGCCACAGTTTCATGTCACTAGGTCTTCATCTTCATATTATTAGTTTTTGAAAATTGAAATTGAAGTAAACATTCACATGATAAATAATGATTTAAAAAATTACCTAAAATCTGATCCAATTCTCTTCCCATTTTCTGGTTCTCCTGGATCTGGGCATAAATTGGAAGCTGTCTTAATTCCTCCCTCATTTACTGTACCAACAGGACAAAAAAAGAAGCAAAATGAATATGATTAGAAACCAAGTTTGATATTTATTTTAAAATTTACATAAGATGTATTCTTGTATTTTGTTATTATAGTCACCATTATTCAAGCATGGAAAGTTAAACTATAAATGCATAAACTAATAATGAAGACAAAGGTATTTTTTTCTGTGTATAGATCGATAAGAAATTAAATTTAATGTTCATATTCGATGACCTATACTATTTTGAGTGTTAACACATTACTATTAATACTTTTATTTTTAGTGACTGTCAAGTGGCAAAATCTCTGGAAACACATTTGCAGAGTATCAGTGTCCAGAGATTCCATTAATCATTGGCAATAAAGAAGTCAGTCATCACTTGACAATGTCATTTGAGTCCCTGCTAATTTTAAAGTTGTAGTGAAAAATATGAATGTATGTGAAAAACTTAAAGTTATTAACACTTCTGCATTTGGTATATAACAAAGTAATCTGATCTGCCAACATTAAAAGAAAACAATGGTGCAAATTACTAGGGTTGTCATTAAATTATGTTATAATGCTGGAAAGTAGAACAATGACTTTACCCTGAAGCAATTTCCATAAATACAATTTACTTAGCCATTGTTCACATTTTCAGGAGTTTCTTCAGAGCACCCAGTTAATAAAAGATGCATTATTATTTTTTTCAGTGAATGTTATCAAACTGGACAACTAACTCTCCAAGATAGATTTTATTATCCAACTAAGTAGTTCTGAAATAACTGAGTGATGTTGTTTAATAAATTCAATCTTATCTGGTCATGGTGGCTTAAGCCTGTAATCCCAGCACTTTGGGAGACCCAGGCAAGAGGATTGCCTGGGCCCAGAAATTCGAGACCAGCCTGGGCAACTTGGTGAGACAACCAATACAATAAATCGTCTCTACAATAAATCAAAAAATTAGCCAAGCGTGGTGGTTCATGGCTGTAGTTCCAGCTTCTTGGAAGACTAAGGCAGAAAGATCACCTGAGCCCAGCAAGTCGAGGCTGTGGTGGCCCCGAGTATGTCACTGCACTCCAGCCTGGGTGACAATGAGACTCAAACTCAAAAAAAAAAAAAAATTAATCTTATAGTAAACTGGAGAATAGTTTCTGTTGTTTTGCTCTTAGCACTTTCTCTGTCCATTTTAAGAAAATAATTGTGCCTAAGTAGAGACTCCAGAAAGTAAAAAACATATACCTTGCAAAGATTGTTGTCCCACACTGTGGATTGGAATCACTTGCAGATCTTTAAAGAATAATCTAATTCCTTCTTCTGCCCATAGATAGTCTAATGAAATCAGTCTAGGGTCAGACCCTGTGCATCATTTATTGTTGTTGTTGTTAGTAACTCTTGATCTGTGATTCTAATGTAAAGTCAAAGTTGAGAACCACTAGACCTTTGGATCACTTAGCATCAAATTGATTATAAGATGATGACCCAACAGTCATAACTGTGGTGAAGTTATCATCTCTCAATTAAATATAAAACGTTTGCATGCTTCCATCATTCTAAAAAGCTTACTTTCCTAAGTATCAGTAACAATATCCTTCTTGCCAACTTTATTGCATGCTTACTAATGCAAAGTTTGTGATATGCTTGTGTTTCTTGGTTCTCTAAGCTGCTATTCAATTCTTCTTTACCTTTTTTTGAATTTTCTTTCTTTTTCTTTCTTCCTTTTTTATTTTTTTTTTACTCTCTTACTTTGGCTGATTGCACAATAGCAAACAAATTCAAAGGCATAAACCCATAGCCCTCCATATTTGTATTTCCCCAATGGCTTAAAACAGTTATCTATTTGCTAATAATTTCTAATCTTTTCCAAGCTCCTTTCCTCTTTCAATGGCCTATTTGATTATCCACCAGCATTACCATTGTTACTTCATCTATATAATCAAATTCAACCTAATTACTTTGACACTTTTGTGGCTCCATTAAAATCCAGTTCTGATTCATCTTGAATACCAAAGAAAGATTAAACTTCCTAAAACCCAGTTGTTAACTACTGCTTAAATCTCCTATGGCTCCAGAATTTGTACTATATCAACAGCATTTCTCACTGATCCCCAACATGTACCCATCTCTCCAAGTCCAAATGCCTCCTCACTGCTCTGCAATTTTGCTGGTCAGACATACTTACTCTACACATTGTTTCATGTTTTCCTTTTCTTCCTTTACAGTTATCAAACTTCTATCTAATATTCAAGACCCAGCTTAAGTCCCACTTCTTTCAAAAGATAATTACTCATTTTTCCATACTATTCAAATTGCTCCTTTTACATAACTTGGAGCATTTTATTTGGACAATTTAATATTTAATTTAAAAATTATTTTATTATGCTATAAATTAATAGTTTCACATGCCTTTAGTCATCTATATGGAGAGATTATATACTTGATAAAAATAGAGGACAAACATATTTATTTTAATATACCCACAAAGCCTAGATAGGTACTAATATCTTCTCAATAAAATGTTCTAGTTGTTTGACTGAAAACATCTTACATATTGTTTTCAATGAATTCGGCATTTTCTATAAAAAGCTCCCACTTGCCAATCTTTAAAAGCTTTTTGAAAATATTGTAGCCTATGTTATTAACATTTTTAATGTGGGGTGCAGATGAGGAAAAGATGTGACATGACTTAGGTTTAACTATTTTCTTATATTACAATATATAACACAGATTATAGGATAAAACAGTTTGTGAATATATTATTAGAAAGTAAAAATTATATTTTTTTCAATTTCACCATCACTTCAGCTTAAAACAATACTTTTATATGAATTTTAATGATAGTTAAAACATGATATTATGTCAGGAACTATTCTACATATTTATGTGTCCTAACTCATTTAGTACTCAAAACAATCTGAAGGGTAGCTACTATTATTCTACACCTCCTACAAGTGAAAAACTGAGTCACAGAGTGGTAAGAAATGCGTCCAAAGTCATGTTGCTAGTTAATGCCAGTCTATATTTAAATCCAGGCAATCTAATTCCAGAAATTCTACTTCTAATCCTTGAGTCTTCCAGCCTGTCCAGAAAGCTCAGCAAGGTAGAAACTATGTCATTAATTAAAATTCAAAATAGATTTGTAAATATTTTATCTTAAAATGCAGAGCATGTTTACAATTGCATCACTTTCACCTGATTAATCCCAGTTATTATTTTAATTGTCAAGTTATTTCTGTCTGTTTGAAGTATCATTAAAATCACTACTTTTGGACATCTAAAATAGGGGAAAGACTTCCCAATTTAAAATGTAAGGATAATGAGAGAGCTTTTGCATGGCATGTATTTAATGTTCTTCAATTTAAAATGTTTAAAATAAAAAAAGAACAAAATGTATAATCTTTTATTTCCTTTGTTGTTTAGATATTTCAGAATTGCCCATAGCCAAATGATGCCAAGACATTCAAATGAAGTTAGTATTCATTCAATCATCTGCTTTCACTTCACAATGCCATTGAAGCTTCTTTTAATTTGAATAGTAATTTGCAGCATTGTAAGAACATGAGTTCTCTTTAAAAGTTTTATTACGTGGGCAGGGTGAATAAGCATGTTTTCTTAAGTCTTTTGATTTTATATAGCACATAATCTGTGCTAAAAATAAAAATAAGGATATTCTGTGTGAAATTCACCTCTATATTACCTCTTGTAGCTGCTTACATCATCATTTTTCTCAGTTTTTAAAAATTAGATATTTACTTTTTATTACAACTGATAAAATACAGTGTTTTTGGATAGTGTTCTGAACTCAACTTTCTCATGAATGTCAGCATTGTGTTATTTTATACTAACATACTTCAGATTCTATAAAGCACTGCCTCTTAATTCATTTAGCTTCCCAATAAAATGTTGGATCCTTGAGTCCTGAAATTGTATTTTAGTCGCTTGTTTGCCTTCTTAGTCTAGCATAGTGCTGCCATGGAGGAACTATAGAATGAATGGATAATATGAGTGAATAAAAGTATGGATTTGAGGAATAGAAAATAAAAGCACAATAAATTATGAAAGACTCACAGTTTCCTTATAATTCCACTTTAATTTTTTTTTTTATACTACTGAAGCAAATTTAATTTGTTTCCAACTAAGTTTTTACAAGTGTAAGGTGTTCATGGCAACCCCCAATAAGTTGACCAGAATACTAATTAATTAAATTCAGCATTCTAAAAATAAAAAATATATATTTTTAAGACTTAAAAAAACTATTTTTTTACTTCCTTGGCAAAACTTATTTTTGAAAAAGCACAATATGGGGCAATTTAGAGTTCAAGTATTAAAGATGAAAACAAAAATGTGAGTTAACCATTTCTACAACTATGCTCTTTTCATAAACGCTGCTGGAGCTTCCTAAATCTCTTGTTAATTCATTTCTTAGGTAAAATTTAAAGGTGCCATTATGAGATGACATGTGTTAGCTATGTGTGTATTTCTCATCCTCCATGCTTATGTTCAATTCTGGTCATGCCAGTAGTAGGATAGTTTTTTGAGAAAAAAATAACTAGCTTTAATTTTTGTTTTGTTTTATTTGAAAGACAAATGCCAGGTAAAAATTGTCTTTCTTTTTATTTATTTTGTCCTGTGTTAAATAAATGATATTAAAGAGAAGAAGACCCGAATATCAACTTGATAATAGGTATATAATTATGATAAACTTAAAACAACATAATTCTTTGATTGAATGAGAATTATTTATATTCAAAAATAAAAATAAACAAGAGTATTTTTTTAAATAAAATGCAGTGGATACATGTAAAACATGCTTTAAAACTGTTAATATTTTCTGCTTTTTATTAACTTTTTCTCTAACAATCTTAAATAAAATATTTCTTAAATAAACTAATTCTTTTTTACTCAGAGATTTCTTTACTTTTTCAGATACAGCGTCATGTTTAAATTCCCTTTTTGTTCATCTTCATGTATATGAGGTCATGAATATGAACAATGAAATTAATATATATTTTATTTCTACTAAAGCAATATTCCAACAAGTATAGGTAATTGAATACATTTTATGATGCTTTGATAAGGTCCAGATTTCTTAGTATTAATAGCCTGATATTCCAGGGACATCTGGAAGTTTGAATCATGTAACATATAAAATAATAGTTGTGTAGGAAAAAAAAATGTGAAAAGGGAAAAAGTCTAATATCTTGTAATTCTACTTAGAATTTAGAAATAAATATATTGATCAAAAAAATATTAGAAAAATCTGTAGTAAACCTAACATTTAATTCTGCTAACATTTCTTTCATGTTGACATGAAAAAATGTAATATATTAGGATCATCTCACATGACAATTTTTAAAAATTAATATTTTCTAATACAGAAAATATCTTTCTAAAATGTGTCAAATATTTAATATATGGGTCATATTGTAGCAATATTTATTTTCCTAAAAACTGATAGTGTCAATCTTGAAAATAAGTTTTTAGCTCCAAAAAATATGAATAATAATAATAATAATACAGCTAAATCCTTTGAAGTTAACTGTTTAGTGCTTACCAATAGAAAACTCAACTAGATCAATAACTCCCTAGTGATATCTGCTGGTTTGGGTTACTTATCCTCAAGTTAAACTAATAATTTACACTTATGACACCATAAAATAGTAGCTAACGTAGAGACTCCAAGTTTATTACTTGGTAACTGACAATGGCTCTATTTGTGTCATTCACTATTTATATATACAAGTCAATAAACATATAGGTAAAATCCTTTTTGGATATAACTATAATGAATAATTTTTGTTAAAGAAATCATTGTAAACTTACTTTATCAGGTAAGTGGGAATTGAAGAAAAATAAAGTTAAAAATATACTATTGTTGAAAAATAAGCAATAATAACATAACAAAATTTACAATAACCACTCTCATTTTCTGTCAATATGTTATTTTATGTTATGTCAGAAATGACTTGTTTCAAAGTTTCTAATATACAACGGTGATGTTGGAATTTCTTCCAACTGCTATTAATTTGTACCACAAAAATGCATAGTTCTAATTTAAAAGTTTGTGTTTGTTTATGGTAGTTAGATGAATGCTTTAATTCAGTTTTTTTTAGAAAGCAGAATTTATTGAGAGGGCAGAAAATCTCCCACAGTGGGAGGGGACCTGAGGGTGTTGACCTAATTCAGTGATTCTTAAACAGGAATTTTAGGACAAACTTTAGATGACTCATAAAGTCCTCAATTTGTAAGCAAAACTGTTTATTTCAGGTAATTTTTAAAGTTTTTCATAGTGTCAATAAAATAATAATTAGTTTTAAAGACTTAATTTTAAGGGTTTGAATACATTCACTCAAATTAGGAATTTTTTTCCTTTAAATAAAATTGTTATTATAAAAAATATTCCTTAGAAAAACATTTTTGTTGAAATGTAGATATATTCCAACAAGAATACCTACAAGACACCACAAATTTTAGGAATTTTAATCATGTTTACCCTACATTCTAGGTTACAAACCCTCTGTGTCCTCAACATATAAAATCAGCCGTTTTTTTAACATCTTAAGATATGAAATAAATTTAGCCAAAAATAATTTAAGACTGGGAGTTTACAATGCTAATCCATTAACTCAATGCACATTTAAATACAATAAAAGATTGAATAATCATCATGCATGTTATATAGATATTAATGCAGTTAATTTGGTAAATACATGAACATTTTGGTAGAACACACACAACACAGACACCACAAACTTCACTCTTGCACTAGAGAAAGTAACAAAAAAGAAGTACACTCACAGATAGAAAACTTGTTGCTGTTGTCTTTCCCTGGAAACAATTTAAATCCTCTAGATTTAAAATCTATGGCCTTTTTCACTAGTTAAGAAAACAAACAAAAACATGTATCAGGAAATACAGTTTTAAAATGAAATTCAAGTTAACAAATTTTGTTAGCATGGAATTATGCAAGATAAAGAAACCACTTTTCTTAAGCCTGCTACTGGGTACACAGAAGAAAAATTTTAAAAAGGCAATATAATCACTTAGTAGTAAAATACTAAGCAGTGTAGAAGGATTTTAAATATTCTACAGGGGAAACCTATATAAATGTATAGGTATTTTTTTAAATGTTCAAGTTTTTATATAAAAGCAGTATCTTAACACTTTATTATAAACCACTTGAATTCATCAAATTTTATAGAATAAATTAAACTAGAAAATAAAAATGCTGGAGTATTAGAATAGTGGGAAGAATTTAATGAGCTTGGTTTTAAAAATAAATTACCTAAAAGTTTAGCCTATTTGAATTATTAGGGAAAATTAAGAAAATGGCTAAATTAGAAAAAAATACATTTTAATATTTCTGCCAATAATAATCTCCATGCTTTATCATTGCATTTAACACTTGCTTGCTGTTCGTCCATACTGCACAAAATGTATAGAAAGTGAATTACAACTATTTGGAGTCCATCTAAAATATCTTGCTATTATTTTTAGATATTTCATTGTATACTATATTCATAGAGATATAACTAGTCTAAAAAATAAATTTATATACATCCAATGGAGTTTGGAAGTATTTTTAAAAAAACTTGAAATATGTTAAAAATATTTTTTCAATAATTTGGATTATTTTCTTTTAAACATATATTATTTGATTAACTACAGTTGCAATGATTTTTTAAAATGTGATAAGTGATAGTACAAAAAACCACTTTATTTAAAAATTTAAATTATAGCATGTGAAACGAACAACCTCAATTTAATTAAAATACCACTAATTTTTTAAAAAGTTCTACAATCTCTCCTAATATGATATTTAAGTATCAATTATTTTCTTTTGAATGTTTTATTGTTTATGGTTACATAATAGTTGTATATATTTAGAGGATACATGTAGTATTTTGATACAAGCATACATTGTGTAATGATCAAGTCTGGGTAACTTATATTTCCATCATCACAAACATTAATCATTTATTTGTGTTGGAAACATTCCAAATATTCTATTTTAGTTATTCTGGAATATAAAACAAACTATTGTTAACTATACATGCTCTGTTGGACTATCAAACACTAGAATGTGTTCTTTCTATCTAACTACATTTTGTACTCATTATCCAAACACTCATTACCCTTTACCACTTCAAATATTTTCTTCTAAAAAAGGAAAAGCATAAATAAGAAAGCAAAGAATATATTTAACTTCCTCAGCTATAACTTATAATTCTTTACATATTGCTTTTTATCAAGTATATATGGAAATATAATAGCCTTAAATATTATGCAATTAAGGTTTGTTCATGCAATAAATTTGAAAAAAGCAAAACTGACTTTTGTCAGATAGTTTTAAATTACCATTTCATTATTTCTGAACTGTCATTCTACCCAAATTAGTACAATTTATAGATATTTTATTGGTTTTTTTTTTTGAAACATATCAAGGTGATTTTTTTTTTCTTGTTAATACTTTCAAAAGTAGGAAGGTAGAGACAGGGTCTGATTGTTTAAGGGAATATATAGTTATAAACTATCTATATACACTACATATATTTTAAACAGAAGAAAATGATCATTGGAGGAGGATTTAAGAAACTAGATTCTCAACAATCATGGGTTTGTGATTTTGGGAAAGCATCTGTTTTTTTATTTTTCTTCTGTTAAAGTAAGAAGCTAGGACTAGAGACCACTCAAGCTCTTTATAGCTCCAAGACTCTGTATCTATTACATTTATCATGAACGAATGACTGTTTCACTTGCAAATGATGCTTTTGTTGTGCTTCTCTTCTATCTTCACCCCCACTCCTAGGGTAACCTAAAGTTTAATTCTTCTAAAGTGATCAACCGCTCTAAATTTAGTTCTTTCACATGTGAATTTTTCTGCTGTCTCTAAATACTTTTTAACAAAATTTGCATTTTGTATTTGTGGCCTAATTCTAAATGTTCCCATTCCAAACGTGAAAAATGAGGAGGTATATACGTCTACTTTTCACTGCATTATAATATTTGACTTTATAAGTATTACAAATGAATCTGAAGGTCTTATGGTAATTATAACACAAATCTGGAGTTCAAAAAGAATAAATAAAACTAAATTAAACGACTTTAATGCCAAAGAAGAAAATTGCAGAAGAATAAAATTCTATGGGTCAAAGGTTCAATGTTAGAAATAATATTTCACTAATGTGTGCGGAGGGTGGTGTTATATGTGAGAAGGCAGGTTGATGCACATGCCTATAGATATCTAGACTTAATTATTTGGCTGGAGTCGGTAAGGGACAATACCTTAAGATAAAAACTAGTGAATGCTTCTGGCAAAAAAGAAAAAAAAATGTCATGTAGGGTCAAAAATTTTAAATATCTTTCTGGTTCTATGAGGACATAGTCATTTTATTTTTAAGTGTTTACATATCAATTTATTTTGAATATTTTGAGTAAAAACTGTAATATTTTATCAAATATAACACATAATGTGCATTTTCATGAAAACATTTTAAAAATGAACATTGAATCAATTATAAAACCCTGCTCTAAATCAGTTGTCAGAGATTCATATCACCTATATGCAACACAAATATAAATTTTGCTATGTGTAAAGGGACATACAATAAATCTTCACATGTTATTAATAATGAGTGCTTCCATTGACCATATTTAACTTATAAAATTACATGATTTTTTAAACTGATGCATCTTAGTCACAAGCATGTGAAATTTATTTTATTACAGAGTCAAAATTAAACTAGTTTATGGCTTTTTATACAGGTTAAAAAGATGTTAAGACAGTGTGCTATTTATTGAAATTCCCTCCACTACACGATGAGTCCCTTAAAGGCAGGGAAAATATTTTCCCATATTATAATTGTATAAGTGTATGAGTGAATAAATGTAATACTATTAAATCTGGACTTTCAACTAAATATATTTTGTTGGGAGAATTTCCTTTATTGATCATGAATTAAGAAGCATGGGAGTGACAAAAAAATAAATGCTCAAGGTGAAACTTTTTCATCTGTAAGGTGATATTTACACAGAATAAAACTGCATATGCACTAAAAAATTTAGAAAGCATTAAATGCAGGATCTATAGACAATACTCTAAGTTCTATACCTTTGTTTTCTTTTGTCTTTCACATGCTAAACAATTTTTATCATTCTTGTTAATTTTTATTACTTTTTTGGTTTGACTCCACTTTTCATTTAATATAACAAATATTTTATAATATAAGAAATGTCTGACAGAAATAAATATTAGGCCAGCAATCAAATCTCCGCTTAGTTGTAAGCTCTGTACACAAGGAAAGCCACTTAACTTTTGTAACCTTCATTTAAGCAGGTTTAAACCACATAGTGGATTATCATTTTGGCATCCTCCATGGCAATTGTTTTCTGTTATCTTAAAAATCAATTTGAATTCTAAATTGCATTTTAAAACTTACAGAAATAATATGATATTGATTGAATGTTACTTAGATTTAATCTTACTTTCATGTTAATCAGCTGAAGTAACTTATTTGAAATTATTTTAAATGCCTATTGTAACAATCTTATATTCACATATATAAGTAATAGCTTAATTTTCTTTCAAATACCAACTTTTTGTGAATTGGAGTCATTTTTCTTTATTTTTTTGTTACAGAATCTTTGTAACTATAACTTGAGAATATATGGTATTAGAAAAGAAAGCAGACTAGGAAGTAGTAGACTTAATGTTGGTGTTGTCTTTATTGTTAGGAAATTAATCATTATTATAAAGTGTGATAGAAGGAATTCAAGTATTAGTTGCAGATATTTGAAAAGATGACCTTTAAGTAGTTTTTATCACTGGGCTTCTATAAATTAAAGTCATAAAACATTTCCTCGATTCAAGTTCTTCATTTGAAAATGGAGTTCTTCAGTACATAATCTCAAATATTTAATATTGGCAATTTATGATTGTATTTCATTACTATGTATATATAGTGAAAAATCTATAATGTGAAGAAAATTTATCTTGAAACAAAAAAAGACACATTTAATATTAGTGGAACATTTTTTCAACTGAAAATATTTTTACTTTCAGTTTGTATGGGGCTCCCATAGAAGACAGTGGCATTATTTGTAAAATATTACTAGAACATCCCAAAGTCCCTTTCATTTTCAACTTAGGTTATATCCTAATACAATAATAAAGATAAAATAAATGCAATATTATTGCTTTGTATTTATATTAGTCTTCCAAGTTTGTAGTATTTATTTTGATAATCAAGTATTTTGGAAGGGGCAATACCTGCATTATAAATCTGCAATTCAAACAGATAATGATATCTCTTTTGAAAATTAAATAACTTCCCATGAGCAAGCAAGTCATTTATACCTTACTGATTTGTTGTTGTTGCTTATTTTTGCTTCATTTTAACTTTCTTTACTGTCCATTTATTTATTTATTTGTTTGTTTATTTATTTATTTATGCGAGTCAGGGCCTAATATTTTCACCCAGGCTGAAGGGCACTGGCACAATAATGGCTCACCACAGCCTCGACCTACTGAGCTCAAAGCAATCTTTCTGCCTTAGCTTCCCAAGCAGCCAGAAAGACAAGCATTCACCATCACACTTGACTAACTTTTTTATTTTTTACTTTTGAGGTCTCGCTATGTGGCCCAGGCTGGTCTCAAACTACTTGGCTCAAGCAACCTCTCACCTTGGCCTTCTAAAGTGCTAGGATTACAGGTGTGAACCACCACACCTGGCCTAACTTTTCAAATGTACAATAATAATGCCTTTCTCTTCCTCTTTTGTACTGTGTTTGATATAATACTTGGATGTGTAATTCCTATTCTTTTATTTTGAATGAATTAATTAAATCTTATCTTTCACTTTATATTCAACTAATAA